AGGGATGGGGATGGAGATTGTCTTAGTGGGGACAAGGGGTGGATGGGATTAATACGAATACTCTTGATTGGGGACGAGGACAGGTGTGAAGTCCACACCCCACCCCGACCCAAATTATATATTAAATATATCCATATATWTAATATTATTTATATTATATATATCAAAATATATTTAAAATATTGYTTACATTTAATTTTTTCCTTTGTTTAAATAAATACCTTTCTAAAAACAAACTTTTAATTAAAAAAATTCAGAGATTTAGGTCTCAATGGGGAACTMACCTCTATCGGGGATTAAGGATGTAGACTAAATTTTTTCCCGATGAGGATTGGGGTCAGAGACGGGGATTAATTTAAAACTCGAGGTCAGGAAAGGGAGTATGATCCTTGCCCCAACCGCCCATTGCCATTCCTACCCAGGGGGTCATCCCCTAAACCCATAAATATAGTTCCAATACATATGGTAATTATAAATGTAGTATCCAATACTAATGAGAATTATTAAAATTTTTCAATTATTTATTTGAATTGTTGGAAGTTTTATAATTTAACTTTCACTAATTAAATTACCAAAATCAGTAATTTTTAGTAATTAAATTACCAAAATAACTAATTATTGCTCAAAAAAATAGTAAATATCAAAATTACTAAAAATATAAAAAATAAATGTACATTTGTTGAAGTTAATTTTCCATAAAAATTTACTGAAATTTTTTAATTATTATTTGATAATATCATTAGTTATTAATAAATTGACCAAAATTATTGAAAATATCAATAACTACTTATTGCTAAAAAAATATTGATAATATCAAAATTACTAAAAATGTAAAAAAATAAATTTATATTTATTGAAATAAATTTTACAATGAAAAATTACCAATGATTTTTAATTATAGTTTAGGTGTTGGTATTTATTGGATGGTATTCAATAATATTCAAAGATATTTCACAAATTAATTTATCCACGTTTTTTGTTTTAAGATGGTTTATTGGGCATGTAATATAGATTAAGAAGTGTTCTAGGAGGAGTTTTAGGTGGGAGAGATAGTATAGGAGAAATTTTAGGAGGGAGGTTGGCTAAGTGATTAAGAACATGAGAGAGAGAGAGAGAGAGAGAGAGAGAGAGAGAGACTCTAGTGAAGAAGAGAGGGCTGCCACATGGCTACATGGAAGGGCTGGCAAGGGGTAAGGGAGAAATGAGAGAGAGTTAAGGAGAAATGAGAGAAGGGGGAATTGGAGAAGGAGAGGGTTGCCAACATGGCCTATGTTGCTATATAGACTGTTTTGTTTTTGGGATAAGTGGACTGCAATCCATGTCAAAAATCTGAATTTCAGCCCCCTCTTAATCTACTAGTAGACCCCCCCCCAAACCACATCATACCTGTGAATTTGGCATCAATCAACAAGTAAGATTCAGTCCACCCCTAGAAATCCTAGCTCCACCCTAGGGGTGGACTGAACTAGAAAAACCCCTTTGTTTTTTTCCATTATTAATTTGTTAAATTTTACAGAGGCAATTAAATCAGATCAGATAATATTTGGACATCCAATGTCCTTGACAAATTTGGGTTCAGGGTAATCTTTGTGAGATCCATAGGACCATTAGATAGGATTGGATTTGAATATATCTTGATTTGAATCCAATCCAATCTGTTTGCATCCTATTGCTTGGTTATGCTCAGGTTTATCTAGTGAAATTTTATAACAAATTCTTAACCTTATTTAACACAAGTTGCCCTTAAGAATAATGGTTTGACTGGTAAGGAAAGTTTAGAGATAAGGGAAATGATTTTTAGAGAAAGAAAATCAGATATGGGTAAGAGAGAGAAATTAGGAAGAATAGGAGAAATGGTTTTCAAGAAAAAAATGTTGAGTGGGATTAGAAAATAGGAGAGGATAATTTTCGGGAAGAAAATTATTAATGGAAGAGATAAAGTAGGAGTTTTAGGCATAAACAAGTTAAGAAGATAAAAATTGGCTGCCTAGTTGTGTTGTTGGCATGACTCTACTTGTGGACTACTGTATCATGGGAGAGGGACTATGGACAGCCAAAGTTTTCTCAGCTAATAGAAAGGTGAATTGTAGTGATCATCATGTGGTATGAAAAAAAATAATGACAAAAACAAAATACATAAAGAAAAAGCCTAATAAATTTCCAACTCAGCCCAAGTTGCCACCTAAATGTAAGAAGGTAGGTTTGGTTGCTAAAGAGAATTTAGAGTTAGGGAGAAAGAAATGTTAGGAAAGAAAACCATATTTTGGGTGGAAGAGAAAAAGAATGAGAGATAGGAGAGAGAATTTTTAGGAAAGAAAATGTTTGGTTGAAGAGAAAAAATGGCAGGAGACATAACATAGAGTTTGCATGAAAGTAAAACTTCGAGCTTTAAATCAAATGCAATTTAAGAGAGCAATGGATTGTTGTGATTAATCATGTGGAGTGCAAAATAAAGAAAAATTGTAAATTGGATTTTTCTTGATAAAAATGAAAATCTAAGAAACTACATCCCACAAGAAGAGGCACTCACTTCTCTACCTGCTATATTATGTGTCCATTGTTAGAGTATTCTAAACGACAAAAAGTTTTCTAATGTGTAGGATTCACACACTAAGAAAATGAATAAATTATATTAATTTTAAATAGTATGAAAGGACAGTTATGTTCCTCACATACAAAAGAAAGACAGATTCAAGAAAATAAAAGAAAAGGAGGGCATGCCACCATATAAGATGTAAACAATGTGCAATATAAATATGGTCCTGCAAGAGTAATCGCCCCATATCTATGCACCCCCWCAAATTGATGTTAGGAAACAAACATCAATTAGTCACTGATAAATTAATAATTAGAGMTTTGGTAAAGAGAATAACCAATTGAAGACCATAAGACACGTAAGAATAGGTGACATGGCCTGCAATATATTGATCATAATAAATAAAGATGACAATTTTCCCCATCTCCGCTAGGTACTTGGCCTCCGGTCCCATTAGGTTGGGGATGGAGATTGCCTTGGTAGGTCGGGACAAGGATGGGGAGTGAAATCCTTACCCTGCCCTGACCCCAATTATATATTATTGTATAGATATATGATATTATCTACATTATATATCAAAATATATTTTAAAAATTTTCTTGCTTTAAGTAA